TCCTCCTCCTCCTCCTCCTCCTTCTTGTTCTTCTTGTTCTTGTTCTTGTTCTTTTTCTTGTTCTTGTTCTTGTTCTTGTTCTTGTTCTTGTTCTTCTTCTTCTTCTTCTTCTTCTTCTTCTTCTTCTTCTTCTTCTTCTTTAAAATTGAAGTACATTATTAGCTGCTATGGGCAAGCCCTACAAAACTAATAGTAATAGGTTAGTATGCCGAGGTCGACCACGGTATCTCAAACTTTCGTCCTTTTTGTCACGGCACCAGACTGATGACTGTGACGAGACAGAAGGAAGGAAATTTGTCACAGGAAAGCACGTGATAGACAGAAAACATAGGCCCATTATTATTTAGATGGCTGGTAAGAAACCAGGACAGTCATCATTCACACCGTAGTACTGAAAAACTGAAATATAGAACGCTATTTCATTTGTGACGTAACAGTACGGCTTTCTTCTTTTCGTCCCCCCCCCCCCCCACACACACAATACCTAGTTAACAACTGCCAAAAATGTCAGAGCTCTATATACCAACAACAGAGGCTCAGTGAGAACAAAGGAAGGCAACACAGACTGGTTCAAAGTAAGATCTGGAATACGACAAGGAGACGTTTCATCTCTCTTCCCTTTTTATAATTTATATGGACACGATAACGTAAAACGTAAACCAAAGCCCAGAAAGCCTAAGTGAACTTCTCTTTGCAGAGGACCAATGTCTTATTCATCCAAACCAACAAAGCCTCCAAAATGACACTACCAAACTGAATAACAGCTGCCAAAAATTTGACATGAAAATAAGCACATTAAAAACAGAAGTTATGAAAATGAGCGAAACAACTGTCCACTGAACATCCATGTCAACGGCAAACGACTGAAACAGGTGAAGGGGTTTAAATATCCTGGTAGCATTTTTTCTGAAAGCGGGTCTATAGACATGAAAGTTGAAATGCAAACTCAAAAAGCCATTACAGTCACCTACTAGCTCGCACTCCTACTACTCTCTCATTTAAACATCTCCAGGGACACACAGAGACAGCTTATCACTTCAATAGGTAAACCAACATTCTACCAGTGCCAGAACTGGACATTAGGTAAAACCCATGACAGTAAAATAACTGAATGAGAGATGAAGTGTCTCCGCAAGACCCTTAACATCACAAGTAGAGACAGGCAGAGAAACGAAGAAGTGAGAGCGGCCATTGGCACTGAGTCATGCCTGCATTTCATGAAGAAAAAGAGAATAGAGTGGTTTGGCCACCTGTTACGAATGTCATCAAGCCAGCCAGCCTCCAGGGCCTATATATCTAACACCAAGCACTCAGGCTATAAAGGAAGAGGTAGACCACGAAAAAGATGGATTGAGGGGGTAAAAGAAATGATAAAATCCCAACTGAAAGAGCTACAGACTGCTTTTCAAAAGAGAGATGAGTAACTCGGTAATACATGTATGTTTCAAACGTAATGACCAATTAATGATTGCACTGTCCGCCCAAATCAGTTCACTTCTATGTAATGGTTTATCTGCTCTTAAAAAGTACTAAGATCAAAATTTTGAATTTGTGTTATGGCAGTTTTTAAATCTATGGTATCGATTGCATGTGCCCAAGTTAAGTCTTGAAAAGGCAATAAAAAATACAGTATGTAGGTACAACTGTTAAAAGAATTAAACAGTTTTATTTTTAAATATCTCCTGTAAGATTTGGCCTTCTTGCTTTAGTTGCCAACACTTTAACAGGTTACCGACGATATAACACATAATCCACTAAGCTGTGAAATCACTCTTTGAGATTAACTTACACTTTCATCGTGCTTCAAGCTCCAAATGGTGCGATGCAATAATGCACGACAAAAATGACTAATTACAGGCATATTACTATTGTCTTCAGTGGTTAGGCTCTCGGACTCGCAACCGTAAGGTCGTGGGTTCGAATTCCATCAGGGGCCCGACGTTGTGTCCTTGGGAAAAGCACTTTGCACAAATTTTCCTCACTTCACCCAGGTGGAAATGGGTACCCGGCTATAGACAGTGAAAGATCTTGTCAGTTTGATAGTGTTTGAGCGCGTGGAATCCGCAGCTTGCACTGTATGCTTCCGCGGAAGCTGAGTATGTTTCTGAGTGTTCTCAGAGGGTCTGCTGGGGTAATAATAGTTGTAAAGCGCATAGAGCATGCTCTTGAGCGTGGATATGCGCTATATAAATGCAATTATTATTATAATATTTATAATACTATTATACAGTGGGAGAACGATACAGAGTCTTGTTTTTCTTTATCAAATAGAATCGCATCCTCCTCCTCCTCCTCCTCTCCCTCCTCCTCCTCTTGCTTCTTCTTCTGACAAATGTGACTGCAGATTTTTAGTCACCTCAGCAATTATGCTGGTTTACCTTTTGAGTACAGAGAAACTTATCGCATTAATTCGCCTCGCTCCTCTTGTCAAAAAAAAAAAAAAAAAAAAAAGCCAAAACGTTCAGAATGTCCTGCGAGGCAGATCTGTCATTGTACATTTGACGGCCCGTGCGTCTGGTTAAGGTCATGGCAACCTACTTCTCCACCTTTAGTACCTATACCTATCGTTCTTTTTTCTTTCACGGAAAGAACTATTAATATTTGTATTAGTCTTTCTCATGGTATATAATTTTCGCTGTAAGTAGTAAATGTTAATTGGCGAAAACCTTTTGAATGTATGACTCAGAAAAAAACAAACCGTGCTAGCTCTCAGCATGTTGGATGTTGACCATAAAGTGTCTCGCCCCAACTTCTTTTCTCTTGCTCATTTGCTACGTACTTTTGTGTGCATTTTGTAATCACAGCACCCTGCCTCTCAGCTCGAACATTGTGTTGAAACAGTTGAAATTATAAGCAAGCTCAAACTCACCAACTTTAAACCACAAGTTTTAACTTACATTTTTGACTGTGACAATGACAATGACAATCTTTATTCTTCTCGCAAGGAGAAATTTGTCTTGTTCGTTAACAATTGCAGCAGACGTTACAAAAGTTAGACCTAAAGGTGCACTCACACAAACGCACAAGACGGGACATTAGCCTGATTAGGCCTAGTAAATACATGTCTCATGTGCTGGGACAACCCGTTCTGTAAAACATTCTCTCTCTCTCTCTCTCTCTCTCTCTCTCTCTCTCTCTCTCTCTCTCTCTGTTTCATTTGTAGCACTGTGTTCAGTAACCTCACTGCAGTTGGTACGAATGAATTTCTATATCTGTCTGTTCTTGCTTTTTAAAAAATGTATCGTTTACTGCGGGTCGATAGTTGAAATTGCGATGTCAGTGGGTAGCTATGGTCACTAAGCATTCTTTCCACCTTTTTAAAAGAACGTTTGTGTGGTATTCAACGTTACTAAGGTCTCTACCAATTGTTCTTGATGCCTTTCTTATAAACTTGTTTATTTTTATAATGTGCTGCCTTCCCAAATTGCTACCATTCGTTGAGTCCAGCAGCTTTTAAGAGTTCATTAATATGACTGCTGCAAATGATCCAAATAGATAGACCATGTTATGGATATAATAAATGGTGTTTTAACAGACTTGACATTTCCGACTGGGAAGAAGAGTCAGGGCCTTATCTTCTAGACCAGAGATGCTCAAAGATTCCACTCATCCTCATCCCAGTATAGGAACGGAGCAGCAATTCAGTTACTCACCGCGAACATTGCCGTGAGGAAAGTCTCTCATCCTCTCCACCCGTCATTGGAGGTCCAACCGCTCCTGGCTGCTTATTGCTAGCCTTGTCAACTTAAATTGAGGCTCGAAATAATCTCATCATGAGTGAAGAAGAAGAGATTAACGAGCAAGCGAAGACATTCTCGATCGCTGACTACAACACATTTGATGAAAACAACCCAACAGACCGACTATTGGATCATGGAAAAGGTAAAAAATTGAAGGGGTCAAGGAAAAAACAAACAATCAGGCTAAGTCCCATTTAACCTTCCACAGTTTAATTAACTTATTTGTTCTCTTTTGTATAACGGCCGTGGCTTGTTCTTAACTTGATTTGCTTTTATTATTATAATGCAGTTTGTGAAAAACTTGGTTTGTTGTTGTTGTTGTTGTTGTTGTTGTTGTTGTTGCTGTTGTTTTTGTTTTTGGTGTGAAGGTTATCTTTTACACGCACATTGTGGAAGACTAAGCGGTTTGTTTTGGGATTTGCAGTGTTTGTTTTTTGTTTGCTTTTGTTTTTTGTTTGTTTTTTTGTTGTTGCTTATTTGCTTAATTGGTGTCATAGGGATATACTACTAGTACCGTACTGGAGTAAGTTTAGGTCTAAGTTTTGTAAAAAAAAAAAGAAAAAGACTTATCCTTTTTTTCACTTGACTCCTTCATTTGTTGTTGACGTTATCGACATTGTTACGTCATCTTCATTTTGGTCGTTGCCATTGTCGTTCAATTTCAATCCTCTATGAATCATACATCAAGGAATTTCGAAGACGGGATGTTTATTCCTATGATACTGTTCACTTCTGAAAGAACTGGCGTCTGTAGTGTCGTGAATAGTCCTTCAGCACCACACATGGAAGACTTGAATTCGATTCTTATGAAGCGCTTAAGTTATTTCAGCAAGTACGAGTGTATTTCTGTTTGTCCGTTGAATGATTTATTCTACTCTGCTATGGTTGCCCTGGGCATGCAACCTTGATGCAGCTCGCCTTCTAGATGACTTAGATTATGCCAACAATGGTGTAAGATATTTAAAATAATTGGGGTTCAAGAAGTAGATACAGGAAGGTGGAGAAAAAAAAATTGGACCACTCTCAAATTCTGAACACGAACTGTTCTTGTTTTAAAAAGATTTTTACACGAGTATACATTTTTGAGCTTGTTCATGTTATTGTGTTTATGTTTCTTTGCATGGTTTTTGTTTTGTGTTTTTTTCTGTTTCTTTTGGTCTGATTTTTTTCTTTTCAAAGCACACAAAGGAAATTCCTGAGTTAAAAGAAAGCGGGAAGTTTCCGCAGAACGTGCCGATAGCTCAGTTGGCATCATGTTGAGCTGCGGCGCTGATAACCCTAGTTGTCAAGCTATTATTGCAATATACAATACTTAAAGTGGCTGAATAGCACAGGTCTCGGTTTGAGTCTCGCCGGCAGTGACGCCATCATACACTGAATTCCCTTGGAGAGGTCCAGTTGTTTTCAGTTAATTTCAGTGTTCGAAAAGATCGCTGCCCAATTTTTACATTCAACACTTCACATCAAATTCACACTCAGTACAGAAAATATAACACTGGACGTCTCCTTGAATGGTTGTAACCAGCATCTATGGTGCAGCTGTTGAGCGCTTCGATGTGGCTCGCAGCAGACCCAAGTTCTATTCCCTAGTAGGGAGAACGTTTTTGTCGAGTCTCGGTCTTTCTTCTGGGATATTGTATCCCTCTCAGCCCGAGTTGCCTCTGACAGGCAGGGCCAGAAGTCCGCTTCCTATATAAATGATTAAGTTGTGTAGATGTGCCGTAAAAACACATGCATATAAAGGTTGATTGAAGACCAATTACAATAATGTTTGTTGTCCTCAGATGCCACTCGTTTGTCTATGCAGGAGGCTATCGACAAGCTGGGGTTTGGGAAATTCCAGATTCACCTTTCCATCATGACGGGATTGTGTTATGTAAGTTAACAGCTGCCGCAATAGCTTTATTAGAAGCGCCAGCAACACAGTGACAAAAGTAATAAAACAGCAGCAATAGTAGCTACAATTAATGTAGTGATAGACGCAGCAGCAGTTGTAGCAGCTGATATATGGGTGGATGGAGGGATTTGATGGGCGGACAGATGGATGGACGGGCGGACAGACGGATGGATGGAAGGCTAAATTAGGGTTTGATAGTTCGCAACTTCTCCGCCCGATGTTGTCCCTTTGAAAAAGGCACTTTACACGAATTTTCTTCACTTCCCCCAGCCATAGGCAGCGACAGATATTGCCAGTACGCTGGTGTTTTAGCGTCTTTTAGTTAATGGGAGTTTGCATTTTATGGTTTCCAGGAATTTGCGATTGTTTTAGAATGTTATCAGGCCTGTTGGGGCAATAATACATGTATAGCCTAGATTGCAAAGCGCATTGTGCTTGCTACTGACCGGAAAATTGAGTGCACAAATGCAATACATATTACACACACACACAC